AGGAAAGGAAGAAGTTATCATTATTTGTAGATGCCATGATCCTCTACAAAAAAAGAATCCAAAAGCTCCACAAAAAAAAAAGACTTGAAAATGTAATAACCAAATTCAATAGTGTAGCTGGATAAAAGTTAACACTAAAATCTCAATAGCTCTCCTGTACACAGGTAAAAAAAAAAAAAATCACAGAGAGAAAAGTTAAGGAAACTACACACTACTATTGCATCCAAGAAATGAAATACCTAGGAATCAGTGTAACAAAAGATCTTTTAATTGAAATTAAAAGATCTTTAATTGAAAGTTGCAGCACTCTGAAAAATTCAATCAAAGAAGATATTAGAAAATGGAAATATATTTCTTGCTCATGGACGGGAAGAATAAGTATAGTGAAAATAATCATACTCCCAAAAGTGTTATACAGATTTAATACAGCTCCAATTAAAATACCATTAGCATACCTCACAGAACTGGAGTAAATATTCCTAAAATTTATATGGAACAAAAGAGACCTAGAATAGCAAAAGAAATCTGGGCAACAAAGTCAAATCAATGGACATCAAACTCCCTGACCTGAAATTATACTTCAAAGCTACTGTGATAAAAGCAACATGACATTGGCATAAAATACACCTATGTATCACTGGAACAAAGTCGAAGATGCAGACCCAACTCCAAACACCCTGAGTCACTTGTCTTTGACAAAAAAGCAAAATACGGTCACCTGAAAAAAGACAGTCTCTTTAATAAATGGTCCTGTAAACGCTTTTATCCCACATGCTGAAGACTAAAACTAGACTCATGTCTATCACCATGTACAGAAGTACAAATGAGTCAAAGATCTAAATACTAAAACAGAAATACTAAATTTAGTGGAGGAGAAAATTGGTAAAACTCTTAAAGATAGATGTAGGAAGAGTCTTTATGAGAAAAAATCAGACAGTATGGGAAATACTATAAAGAATCAATAAATGGGATCTCACCTTTAAAAAAGCTTTTACACAACAAAAGAAATCTCCTACAAGTAAAAATAAAACCCACATAGTGGGGGAAAATATAGTCTGTTTCCCTCAGACAATGAACTTAAATATAGTATATATAAAGAATTGAAAAAAATCAGGTCCCCAAAATTCAAAGAACCAATCCAAAATTGGGCATCTAAGATAAATACACACTTTTTAAATGAAACAAAAATAGCAAAAAATGCTCATAACTGATCATTCAAGAGATTCAAATAAAAACAACACTAAGTCATTTCATTTAAAAAAAAATGTCTACTATCAATAAATCAACAAGTAACAAATCCTGGTAGGACTGTGGTAAAAAGAAACCATTTTTCACTGATGGTAGTAGTGTAAAATGGTACAACCACAGAGGAAATCAGTCTGGAGATTCCTCATAAACTAGGATTACAGGTCCTATTATCCAGCTATTCCCCATCTAGGTCTGCCCAGAAGAACTGAAAACATAGTACTACAGCAATATATATGCACCCATGGTTATAGCAGAAAAACTTATCATAGCTAAATCTTGGAAACAAGGCAAATACCCCTCAATTAAGGAATGGATATAAAAGATGCATTTTTACATATAATGGAATACTAATCAGCCATAAAGCA